GCAACTCATCGTAGTGTTGGCTATATAAAGCCGCTCGCCACAGCTGTGAAAACTGGACTAACAGCCAACATCTATGCAGTATTCCCTCTAGGGCCCTTGTCGCAGGAATGTTGTGCGGCACCGACTAATCCATGCTGTTGCTGTATGATGCAACGGGTAAGTATCAAGCAATCAGGATTACTTTCGACCTATACAACCCTTATATTTGTCGACATTATTGTAGTTTTACAAATACCTTCAGACCTTTACTCGAAGACAAATCTTCAACTGACTCTATAAGTCTTCCACTGATTTGGATAATTGTTTCAATGCGACTACTGCCATCAGTTTGCAGAGGATTAATCATAAAAATACGCATTTCATATCAGTCGATATAATGACAGCAGTGAAAATAATGTTAATGATATCATTAATACTAATGATAGCAATAATACTAATAATAATAATTATTATAATAACAACAGTAGCAGTAATCACAATAATAATATTAGCAATAATGATAAACCAGTAGCCATTATAATGATAATCTTAAACCCTGTTGGTGATGATCTAATGAATAGTTAAACGGTAATCAGTTCATCCTGAATAAGTAGAACAATCGCCCACCTAAGAGAAGCTTGATTTTCGAGAAGTAAATCGACAGAACAATGAATATGAGATCTTGATAGCTCATTATAGTACAGTAATTCGAATTCTGATTACATACAATTCAAAAGAACATAACTAATGAATGATTATTCGTAGTGTCCGTGTGCCAGAGCCAGAAGATCTGTAACCTACGAAAGGCAGTCAAGCGAATCAACCCACTTATTCACTAAGGTCAAATCTCCACTATCACCTACATTATCACGAGCAGATAAAAAGCCGTCTTCTGATTGTGTCGAATGCTCGGACACCCAACATCAGTCTCCAGCAACCACCGTTGCCGAATTCTATCGAATGAAACGACACGTATGAATTAATCCTTTCGATTCACAATTAATTTCATCTCCGCATTATGCTAGTTTCTGCTCAAATCTGAAGTTTAGAGCGTAATCTCTGGTTCGATGAGTCGAATTTCTTGTGGAATTTCGTTTCAGCACACATTTTGCTCACCTCAACAAATTGATAGAATACTTTAAGTATTTTAACCTTCCTTACTAAATGTTCTAACAATAAGAAATTCCTCATAGCTTCTTTAAGTTTCACTCACCAACCATAAGAAGATAAGTCCAGAACGCATGAGTCCAGAATGGAATTGCTCACATCGCTGAAAATCTCATTTATTCTTAACAGCATCCGATCATTTGGTAAAAGATTTCAGGCGAGAAAAAACTCAAAATTAATAATATAAGTTAAAAACTTGTTCCACATCATAACCAGTTTCATTCAACACTTTCAATTTTCATTGCAGAGTAGCTCTTATATGGATGGTCCAAGTTATAGCAGTGGTGGTATTATGACGTCGTCGTCTTCATTTGACTGTGATGCGACATGTTGCGATTTCTCGAAATGTGAGACGATTCGGCGACTCGAAGGAACTTTATAATTGCTTTATTTAGTAGTGATTATTAGACTGATTTATTCACTGATTTATTTGCAGATCAACCGTTTAACTGAACTGATGATATTTTGTTAAACTGGAACAGTAGAAATTCGGAGCAAATTCATTTCCCGAAAGATGAATTCACTACAAAGATAATTCTCTTCGCTAAAAAGTTTATTCCCAACCCCAATGCCATACCCTCTCCAAAATGCGCTATGAAATCGTCAAATATCATCGATCCATTGTTTGCCTGGAATAACTGATATCACTCAAGATGATTATCTATTGATTGTGAATTCAGACTTCCCATGAAACCCCATAAAATGCTGGAGAAAGCAGTTTATCTCTTCGGAACAAACTGTATCTTTTGGACTTCACAAGAGACCAGCTAAAGTATCAAATGAGATCACCAAGATCCGTTAGGCTTGCTTGTATTCATTCATTCATCTGTATACCATACGACCTCACCCTCAGCACTGTTCAGTTCAAATCCACATAACTTCATGAGTTTCTATGTTGACTATTTTATCTCTTTCATTATCACGTAATAAACGAATACGATGTGGTATGATTTGTTAAAATGATAATTTATTCGTTCGATCTGATTCAACGTTAACAATTCAAGGTCTTTCAATACCAATAACAACACATTACGATTGCAAGCGAACGGCCGAGACTTGCTGATTAATAGGATCATTCACAGTGTTTTGATAAGGAATAAGTCATCTTAGAAGACAATTACGGATTAATTAACATATATTACGATTTGCAAGGATGACTTGGAGAATGCTTGAACAACGACAGGTTCACAAGTGAGCAGTGCAATGAGCATTCATTATTCGTTCACAGAGCGCAAATTTTCATCACACAAAACTTTCAAACAAAATTAAAATCAGACAAATAATAAAACACTACAATAACAACAATATCAATATAATAATCATAATTATATCAACAACAATAATGGTATATACTACTCAATTATAAGATAGGGCAATATAAGATTAAGTAACATTAAGATCAATAGTAAGATTAGGATGTTGTTACAGTTAAACTATTACTATTCCTAATTGAAGAATGACAACATTTTGAAACAAAACAAGATAAGATCACTGAACAAAATGTCTTGAAGAAAGTCGTGAATTCTCAGAAAATGTGATTAAGTGATGAAATTCAATCCACTGAATAAATTCGACACAAATAAACAAAATGAATTAAAATCAAAACGAAAAACTCCCCTAACAACACATCAAACACACTCCAAATTCATTACACCGCGCAACTGCGGTACAATAAATAAACAATTTTATACTCCAAAATACAGTCAAACAAAAACGCAAAACCAAATTTAGTCTCATTCATATTCATACATTCACACTTTAAAAATTCTTAATCACATGAAAAATTTCACAAAAATACAACGAATACTATTCATTTACACGAACGAATCCACAAATCAATTAAGCAAGGTTTCAAGAAATCTAATTTTAGGCTAAGCTCTCAGACTACGACCTGAATTGGTGTGTGAGATAGTACGATATCAGCTGCAATGATTCGACTCATCGAACCATAGTCACCGTGAAGATATGCTGCCGATATATTAGTTCAACATTATACTTCGCGCACTAACTCAGGTCTTAATCTTGAAACTCCACTAACTTTCATTCAAAATCCATACTTGAAACCCAAACGCCTCAAGTGACTTTAAAATTAAACTTTAATTCTGAATGAATGGATCGAACGAAAACACGCAAGAATCTCACAAATTTGACTCGTTATAAGCTCATACCCAATCGAACGATATCATTTGTATTGTCAATACTAACGTCAATAATTCTACCAATAATATACCAAGACTAATATTAATATTAACAATACCAATAACAATAACCATAATATTAGTAATAATACTCAAAATATCATTCCCATACTGCCAATAACAGTTATAACATTATCGGTCACAATATAATTTGAGGGAAAGAACATGATTATCTATCCAAATTTACACATACACATCAGGAAACTTCAATAACAAGACATTACTTTAGCACTACAAAATATTAGATGAATATTAAAGATATCAACGCCTCTAAAAGATATCCAATGAACTATACGTTTCGTAACATTCGTGGATTGTTATTATTAACAGTTGCGAGCATTTGCAGTTCTGGTGAATTTTCATTAACTGATGCTAATAAAATCTGAAATTAACCCATCAGCAATTAAATGAGTAACAATTAAAATAAGTAAATGAACCAATAAATGAACACACGAACAATACCAATAATAAAACCACCAAATCCAAATCAAAAGCAACTTCTTACCTCATTCAGAGTACCGATCAGTTTCTTGCCAGACGAATAGTTGATGATGGTACTTCTGGCTCTCAGCAAGCGTCCTGCCAATCGTTCGAACCACTCCACTAAACCATCGCGTTTGCCATCTTTCACGTCGATCGCAACCCCCAACATTGTTTGCACCACATAATTCCCATACACGTCCAACATTAACACGTCCAACGCGTCTTTGCCTGATCTTTAATTCCCAACTTTTACCTCACACTCACTACAATCCGTAATTATTTTGACTACAATCCGTAATCCGTAATCTCAATTTTACCTCACAAATACAATGCTCTCCAAAACATCTTCACTAAATTCTCCCATATTCTATTCAATGAATTCCCATCTGCATTCGAATAAACGCTTCTATCAATTCGCTCAAAATTGCCTGACAACTCGAATTCCAACAAATTCAACTCCCCATTCAATCACTTTTCATTAAATTCACAAAACTATTCACATCTGATCTGGTGAAAATACATTTTCAAAACACGACAAGCAAATGTTACACTGAGAAAAATCTACAAATTTAAATATACAACTGACTGTAAATCAAAAAATATTTCACATTTTCACTAAATCAAGTGAATGGAAACAGATCTCGAACTAAAAACCACAAAAAGCCAAAATCACCCGAACGAACACACACACGAAACAAAACAAACCAACAAACAACCCACCTATCGATATCATATCCATCGAATATCTCACACATCATCAAGTACAAACTTTTCGGTGTGGCATAACGAAGTGCAGTCTGGATCACATGCGATCCGTGTTTCTTTTGTGATAACACCAACACATTACCACTGAAATTTTGCTTGAAATACGTTCACCATCCTAAATCATCAATCGAAAACAGACCAATCTTATGATAGATACCAATCACGAAACTTCTGCTTCTTCTATGCTTCCGTATGCTCGTCAAAAATATTTACCACTAAATTTTAAGGAATGCCTCCCATAAATTTCAAATTTCAATAATACAGTCATAAAATCACTAGTGAAATCTCATTCTTCTAACGATTTAGCCCGATGTGAGTTCACAAAACAGACGGAATTCACTGCTACTTTAACGCAATTCCTAATTCCTTTGTTTTTCTTTCATTTTATCAAAAACATCTCTATATATACCTTAAAGAGCAAGAAATTAATCCAAACCTGATAGCATTTTTGATGATTCTATCAGCGAATTCACTCAAATATTGAATTGCGATAATCCTTTGCACCACAAAATTGCCGTATTCATTCGCCACCACGTCCACATCACATATATCCACTATGCAATCGATCAACTTCTTCAAAAATTCCGCCGCTACACTCGAATCCCATTGTCGTACCTCACTGACGAGCACCTTCAATTGTCAATTACACAATCGCAACCATTTATTAAGTTTAAATGATCGAATGAACCTTTCAACTGTCAGATATTTTTCCTCAATGAAAAACAATCGCGAACTCGGTAATACTTCGATGGAATCAGCTGGCGAATGGAAATCTGCAAACACTTTCAGTACAAAATAATCTTTAAGAAGACCTGGATGGAAATCTCGAGGATTCTACAACCATGCTTATCACACACAACATTTCCAGTGATTGCGTTCGTTTCTGTGATTTCATCGATTATAAATCCATAGTTCAATGGACGCATACGACCGAATATAACCTTGAAAATTTTCATAGATAACCTTTTTTATACTATTTCAAAAAATTATATTACAGCAGCAAAATGAGCGAAATTTGCACACGCAAGAATTTTCATAATACAAATTTTCACGAACCTCTTAAACAGACGAATAGAATCTTCAACTTTTCACGAACTAAACAAACTGACTTTACAAAAAAACTCATGGAATTGCACAAAATAAAAACAAAGCAGAGAAGATAGAATCACCTCAAATACGTGACTTCCATAATTGTGAGTAATTAACATGTGTGCGTTTTGTTTCAGCTCGCTAATCAAACCCCCGCATGTGGGCATATCGAACTTTTGCAGTACTTCTTGCACGATTCTCGTTGCGTATCGCGCACACGACAACTCCACCATCTGACCGCTTAACGCTGTCACAATGTACTGCTGCTCGAGTGATGTTCGTGATCTGCTGACCATAAGCTGCAAACGAAATGAACAAATACAATCGCCGATGCGTTGTCGATCCTCACTTATTAGTTTTTTTTAAAATCAAAATTCCAATATTTGATCAGAATTGTTGACTTCTTTCTCATTTGGTTTGAACTGAGGTTTATTTTGTAAGGCTTTTGAATGAGATCGTCAACAGTTGTCATGTTTTTGCAGCTTACCAGAATGACTTGATTTCCAAGAAAGTGATTACAAGCAACTTTGAAGATCTGACTCGAGAAAATACCCTCATATAAGCATCTCCTCAAACGGTCGTTGCCACGTTGTAGCAGGTCAGCTATGTAACTGTAAATGCTCACCGATGAACTGTAATCAAACCACACAGGACTGTTCATACTTCTGAATTAGAACTTTTCATGAAGAGCCGTTTCTCTTCGCAACTGTCCAATTTTCTTTCCTAACAATAAGCAGCATTATTGTTCTAACACCATGATAGTACATTATCAAAATGCTTCGCTTTCCAAATTTCAGAAATGAAGACTTTTAACAGAAACCTCCTCCCCAGCTCATAAACCTAACAATAAGATCATAAACCCTGAAATATGGGAGAAAACTGAGTCTTTAACCTAAATCTTTGGAGAGACATTCACGACCGTTTCAATAACATTTGAATTCGATACTTTTTAACAGCATTGCAATTCACAAATCGCATACATATCAAAATGAGTGAACGATAGAAATTTCGATTCGAAGGGAAAATCTCAGTTTTCAAAAAAAAANAAAAAAAAACCTGAATCCAGCCTCGCTGATCACCAAATCTCCAATCACTTCTGACAATTCGGTTTCATCTTTAATTGCTGATCCCACTAATGGTTGATAGTGCAAAACGGGTGTCTCAGATGCCAGACATCTTAAATTGATTGGTATTTCTTAACAAAAATATCCGTAATTAATTCAAAAAGTATGAAGTAAAAAAATGAATGAAGGAAAAGGAAACAAATTAGAATAAAGAAATAAAAATTGAACGAACAAATAAGCGCACTCACGCAATGCTGACGGGCAACTGAATTGATTGTGCATTCTCGGTGTTTTCCGTGAGTGTATTGTTACCACCATTTACAAACGTTGTGTTGGTTGGAATAATCTGAACATTAAGATTTAGTTTCACTAAAACAAATCTTCAATTTAAGATGTATTCAATCTGAACGGAGTTAGAAATCCCCTCTGAAATATTTCTTCCTAGCAACTAATCATAATTATCTTTGCAAACGAGAAACGTTAATGTCGTCATTTCGTGAAAGTATCATTTTGCTTAAACAAACAACAATGTAAAGTACCTGCAATTGGTTGCCTTTCACCATGTCTTTCACTACTGTGGTCGGCGGCGGTTCAACAAATGTGACATTGTTAGTGAGCGGGAATGCTGAAACCAATAGAGGTCGGTCTACCTGGATAAATCACGTCTAATGGAAACGAGTCTCAATTTTCAACCGGGAATTCACAAATCAACAAGTCCCGTAGGTAAATTAATCCGCAAAATGCACTCTAATTCCACACCAGCACAGCAAATACAGATTCAAGTATGAAACAAACTCCTCGTAAAAAGAGAACAACGTACTACGATAATAATTTGGTAAGAAAGATGGCTCTTCGTGGTTTTGTTTTGATATGTTGAAACGATTCGACTGCTGGAATGGCTGCATTCGAAATGTTATTTACGGATACTTGATTGACGGATTCTGTTGTTAGAGGACTGAGGTATGTGTTAATAACAGTGAATGGACAAGAATGAGATTCCTGTAAAGGACGTTCTTCATTACATAAAT